ACTCCAACTCAAAAAAAAAAAAATTAACAATTTTGAGAATTTTTCCAAACCCTACTCGTATGTACTCTCCCAGCACGGCAGTCTTGCTCACCTTGGATGTTATCATTCTTTTAAATCTGCAATCTGACTGGTGAAAAGTAAAGGACTGAGCAGATCTTTCCAACACTGACTGCTTCAGAACTGCCACCCACCCGCCCCGGGTACATTTCCTGGCCACCTCCCGGGATCTAGGGAGCTAGTTTTCTGAACTAAGTAATTCAGTACTGGTGTATGATTTTCTTACACACTTTAAGTCACTGATTTTGTAATCTGTCTTTAAGTTATCCATTCAAGAACTAAAAGGCATTCAGAAAATATAAACTCCTTTAAAAAAAAGTATAAGAAAAACAGTAACTATAACACTAAAGGATAATTTGGTTTCCAGAAAACTTGGTGATCTGACTATAGTCACAGATAAAAAAAAAAGGTCACACTACCTGCCAGGTGAATTTAGCAATTCTTGCCCACCAGATTTGAAAAAAAAGGATAAATTTTTACTAAATAATTGGACACTTGAAATATGATTACAATAATGTAAATTTCAGATAAATAAATGAGCATATATAGAAAGCACAGTTTGACTTTACTTTGAATTATGTGAAAAGCACTAAGATATCGTGTATGTACAACTGGTAAGTGACATTATAGAAAATTATAGAGATTGCTATAAAAGCCTTAGTGAAACTGAACTTTGGCAATTAAAGTTTCTACTTTAAAGATCTTTTAAAGATTTTTATTCACATAGGAAACAATCTTCCTTAACATATTTACAAAAGAGTCACTTCATGAATACAACCATGACTGCAATTTGATCATGGTGTCTTAATATTTTTCTTATTCACACTAAACACTTTTTTTCTTTTTCTTTTTTTGTCAGGGACTCACTCTGTCACACAGGCTGGAGTGCAGTGGCACAATCACAGCTGATAATGGCTCACTGAAGCCTCAACCTCCTGGGCTCAGGTGATCCTTCTGCCTCAGCTTCCTGAGTAGCTGGGAATACAGGTGTGGGCCACCCATGCGGCAAATTTTTTTATATTTTATTTTTTTTATTTTTTGAGTCGGAGTCTCACTCTGTCACCCAGACTGGAGGGCAGTGGCACACTCCCGGCCACCACAGCCTCAACCTGCTGGGTTCAGGGGATCCTTCCACCTCAACCTTCCAAGTAGCTGGAATTAATGGCATGCGCCATCACATCTGGCTAATTTCTTGGTTTATTGTAGAGATGAGGTCTCACCAAGTTTCCCAGGCTGGTCTTGAACTCATGGGCTCAGGCAATCCTCTCACCTCGACCTCCCAAAGTGCTGGGATTATAGACATGAGCCACTGTGCCGGCCTTTTTGATTTTTTTGTAGAGATGAGGGCTTGCTATGTTGCCCAGGGTGGTCTTGAACTTCTAGGCTCAAGCAGTCCTCCTGCCTCAGCCTCCCAAAGTGTTGAGATTATAGGTGTGAGCCACCATACCTAGCCACTTAACTTGTTTTAAAACATTAAATTGTAATCATAATTGTATTTGTAAAATGATTATTCATTATATACTTTTAGGAAGAATATTTTCTGTGTATGAGACAATTCAGATTTAGGTTATTATTCTCTTCTGTTTATGGAACATTAAGCAATGGAAATAGCTGACTCTACCCAAGATTTCAAGGTTGAAACTTACCATGGAGTTGTATTCCAAGATGCTTAAACCATCCTCGTGTACAGCCAGCCACATAAAAGTACTTCCAAGTGCTGAAGGAGTTATAGGCTAGAAAGCAGTGAAAACGCACTCTATTACAAATACTAAGCAAAATTAAAGAAATATTGTTCAGATTAGAAGTCATGTAACATTTGCCATTAAAAAGAGGCAGTGTATACCACTGGAAAGCACAGTGAATTTGATTTTAGGAGACCTGGCCTTGAGACACAAGTCTGCCATTTATTCTTGTGCATTTGAGCAAGTGACTTTATCTCTTTGAGGCTTGATTACCTCATCTTTAACATGGGAACAATAATGTTTATATCTTACTTTTCTTCTATTTTGAGAGGCTAATATTCAACAATGCTTTTAGAGTTTCTGTGATGACCAAAAGCCTAAAAAATATATATATATTAATGTGTTGGAAAGGTTATGCAGTTTTACACGATTACAAAGCAAAGGATTATTATGATACTTGCACTTACACTTTTCCTAAAGTTTATTAAGTCTGATATACAATGTCCAATAAAAAAAGAATATAAAGAAAATATGAACCTATATGATCAATAGTAATGAGAAATACCAAAATTTCCACCAAATTTTCTATTGCAAGAGCAATGAAATGGTATTTTTTTTATTATAAAGATGTGGGGTACAATTCGGGGTTAGGTATACAAACATTGATTATGGTGAAATGGTATTAATAAGAAGAATCTCCTTAGCAGTAGTAGGACATTGCCAGGGGAGGGACGGGGAGGCACATAACATCAATAAAGGTAACTTTACCTGTACGATGAGCACGCATGTACCTAACGTTGAATTGTATCCCACATCTTTAAAAAAAAAAAGAATCTCCTGCCAGAATCCAGTCAAAACTCATTAATGTTTTTGGGCATTTCACAATGATTGTTTTGTTCAGTTAACAACTGAAATTCTAACAAATACTTAGCTACTTCTCTTAAATCTTATGGAAGAATGTCAAGACTATAGATAAGACACTGAGATGAATCTTGTGTTATTTGTGTATAGTAAATCTTATTAGCATTTCATATAAAAACCCTGAGTTTTTACCACACTGTCTACTGAGAGTTGGTTTGCAAAGGATAGGCAAGCATCCAATTCAAACGGATACCATTCAACTCAATGTCCACTGACAGATAAATGGATAAACAAAATATCAAAAATATTGTACATATATATATGGAATGTTAGTAAACTTTAGGAAGGAAGGAAATTTTTAACATACGCTACAACATGGATGAATTCTGAAGACATTATGCTAGGTGAAATAAGCCAATAACAAAAGGACAAATGTTATATGATTCCTCTTAGGTGAGGTTCCTGAAGCAGTCAAGATTATGGAGACTGAAAGTGGACTGAAAGTGGAACGGTGGTTGCCAGGGGCTGGGAGGAAGGCGGAGTGGGGAGTTAGCATTTCAAGGGTACAGTTTCAGTTTGGGAAAGTAAAAAGTTCTGGAGATGATAGTAATAACAGTAGCATAAACAGCATGAATATTCTTAATGCCACAGAACTGTACACTTAAAAATGTTAAAATGGTAAATTTTTGTTCTGTGTATTTTACCACACTCACACAGAAAAAAGAATGCCATTAAGCAATAAAGGTGGTGCCACCCTGTTATCAAGAAAGAAAAATGAGCAAAAAAAGACTCCTTTCATGCAACTTGAAAAGCAATATTATTACTTAATAGTATTTTGTGTCAGCAAGTACAGGACGTATTATCAGAGCAGAGGAGGGTATTTAATATTCCTGCCAGTGCTGAAGTTAGAATTAAAACCCATGCTGATCTACAGTTAAAATCTTTTCCTTATATTTAAAAAAAAACATATGTTTAACTCTCTGCAAATATGTTAATTTTACAGATGCTTAAGAATACTAACTTTATCATCTTTCTGTTAACTTATTTCATAGCCAGCTTCTAGTTCTAGCAGCAAAAATAATTTCTTACCTAACAATAATATAGTCATTCATAGAATTAAGCTTAGAAGATATCTTAGATTTTACTTTTCTGGTTCAAATTGTCCATTAGTAGATATGGGAACTGAGGTCCAGAGAGGTTAACTGACTTGTACAAAGCTGCACAGCTATTCAGCAAATATCTATTCAGTGATAATTCTGTGCAAAGCATTAGGGTGGGCACCAGAGGAAGATTTTAGGGTCAGTAACTCTATACTCTCAAGGAGAATGCAACTTAATAGTGAGAATAAAGCAAACACATGGAAAAATGTAAGACAAGATCCTTTCTCGTGTTATCTTTGTATTCTATCTTGTGTGTCTTAAGGGCCAGTACAAAGTGACATGGTTCAGCAGAAAGAAGAGGAATCACACTGCAGATGTTTTCTCTGGGGGGGTTGGAGGCTGGCCATCTCCAGGCTAGACTGGTTGCCCTCCCTCAGGGTTTCTGCAGCTCGCAGTTCGTGTCACTCCTAAGGATATTTACCATACAGTGGTTGTTTACAGGCCTGTTCCAACCCTGGACTATCCTAAGTGACAAGGTCCTGGGAGTTCAGGGACAACCAATCGATGGGTTTATATACCCCTAGAGCTCGGCTCAGTGTCTTCCAGGCAGAACTCGGTAAATACTAAATAAATGAGCAAGTGAATGACCGAGGAAATGAATGAATGAATGAAGAAAAGGATGCAGAATTCATGATTAGCCTGAGTCTAAGAAACGATTTAACGTCGGGGAAATTTTGTCCCTTCATTGTTTTCGTTGCATTGTTGGGTATTTATTTCTTCAGTTTTTGAAAACTCCAAAATACACTAAAACTGGGGTAAATCTGGTCGACTATGTACACAACAGTTTTACTATGAGTCTTTCTCCCATTCTTTCTTACTTTTGCAAGAAACAATTTGGCACCAAAGAATGGCCACTTCCTGGCTACTGTCAAGTAAATGCGCACACAATCAGCAACGCTGTGGCCCCGGAGGGCCATCCATCTTGTCGACAATCGCTGGCAAAGCTGCCTAAAAAAAGGAAACAGAAACACAAAAGCAAAAACACAAGCAGCGTGTCATCCTCCCAAGAAAAGGTCTCCTTGAGCTAATGGAGGCACAACTGTGACTCCTAGAAATTACCCAGATGAAGGTTCAACGACTTTCCTGTCACCACTATCCAGACCTTGTCCTTTTTTGGAGCATTCCTTCCACCAATGCTCATATTATTAGTGTTCTCGGCATGACGTGGGTACCCTCAACAGGTAAATTTAAAAAATCTGAATGGTGGCTGGGCATGGTGGCTCATGGCTGTAATCCCAGTGCTTTGGGAAGCCAAGGTGGGATTGCTTGAGCCTGAGAGTTCAAGACCAGTCTAGGCAATATAGCGAGATCCCATCTCCAAAAACTTTTGTTAAAAAATGAGCTGGATATGGTAGTGTGCACCTGTAGTCCCAGCTCCTTGAGAGGCCTCAGAGAAAGGATTGCATGGGCCCAAGGGGTGAGACTGCGGTAAGCTGTGATCATGCCACTTCACTCCATCCTGGGTGACAAAGTGAGACTCCAACTCAAAAAAATATAAATAGCTGACATCAATCAAGCTTTAGTGTAAATTAGTTTAAAAGGTAATTTCTCATGGGAGTATTTTCATCTTTAAAGAAAAGTATGAACTGGGCACGGTGGCTCACGCCTGTAATCTCAGTACTTCGGGAAGTTGAGGCAAGAGGATCACTTGAAGCCAGGAGTATGAGATCATCCTGGACAACATAGCGCAACCTCATCTCTTAAAAAATAAATAAATAAGTAATACAAACTTAGCCAGGTGTGGTGGTGCACATCTGTAGTCCTGGCTACTTGGAAGACTGAGATAGAAGGATCACTTGCGGCCAAAGGTTTGAGTTTGCAGTGAGTTATGAATATGCCACTGCCCTCCAGCCTGGGCAACAGAGCAAGACCCTATCTCTAACAAACAGACAGACAAATAAACAGACAAACAAATAAAAAGTACAAGTAGTAGAGCCCAAAGATGAATTCCTAATGGTAGAATTTCAAGTACTACCACTTCTAGCTTGGAGAGATGTTGGATGCAGGAGAAACTTCTCAAGTCAAATAAGAGGCAACCACTTATTCTACATAGGCGATATGGATCTTAAATGTTTCTGATCTTAAATGTTTCTATTTCAGAAAATGCATAGTAAACAGAATTTGCCTCTATTTTAAAATCTAATCAGTTTTTCTTTCTACAGTCTCAAAAAATGTGACTCCAAATTAGTTGAGTTTAATTTAAAACTTTATGTTAAAAACCAGCCTGGGCAACATAGCAAGACCTTGTCTCCACAGAAAATAAAAAATATTAGCCAGGTGTGGTGGTGTGGGCCTATAGTCCCAGCACCTACAGGGAGGCTGAGGTGGGAGAACTGCCTGAGCCCAGGAGGTCATGGCTGTGGTGATCCCTGATTATGCCACCACACTCCAGCCTGGGCGACACAGTGAGATTCCAGCTCAAAAAAAGAAATTTTTTAACAACAACAAAAAAATTACCAAAAAACTAGAGTGACTCTACCCTTTAAACAGTTACAGATAGCTGGGCGCATGTCTCATGCCTGTAATCCTAGCACTTTGGGAGGCAGAGGTGAAAGGACTGCCTGAGTCCAGGGGTTCAAGACCAGCCTGGGCAACTTGGCGAGACCTTGTCTCTAATAAATAAAAAAAAACCAACTAGGCATGGTGGCAAGCGCCTATAGTTCCAGCTCCTTGGAAGGCTGAGGTGGAAGGATCACCTGAGTCCAGCAGATCGAGACTGTGGTGGCTGTGAGTGTGCCACTGCACTCTAGTCTGGACAACAGAGTGAGACTCCAACTCAAAAAAAAAAAGTTACAGATATTTCCTTACCTTAACTGCTCTTCAGAACAGCCATCTCTATACCTTTTAGGATAAAATTTCTCTATGACTTGTTTCAGAGTTTGATTTGCTTTGCACTGGTTGGTAACATGTCCTGCGGGAGTCGAGAAGGGTCTTTCAAAATCTCCAATCTCCACCTAAATGGAAATCCAAAAAAGAGAAAACACAGGATATTGGAAAGGGTTTTAAAAAAAAAAAATTAGTTGTATTTTTTCCAAACATTCTTTTTTAACACACAATACATAAATCTTCCAACATGAGCCAGACGAACACGCTGCCTCACTAGACTCTATATCCAACAATTAAGAGTCAGCTCCAAGAATTTCCTGATTAAGGCAGAGAATGTCAACAAGCATCTACAGACATTCAAATCTACAACAGAGATCACTGCAGAGCTCAGGTTTCTTTGGTATATTTTATCTATCTTCACAAAACTACTCTGAGGGAAGGAGATCAGAGGAATTAATTTCCTCTTATGGAGAAATTATACTTTCTAAGTTGGTAATGTGCTCAGAATTTTCTTGACGTATGGTTTCACCTTTCCAATGCTTCCTCGAATTCATCTAAAAAAAGTGAAGATTGCATGTCTCCAAAGTGTATTACAACTTTTCTTGTACAAGCTTTCTTGACAAAAATTAAAAGTCAAAGAAAACAAGCTTAAATTTTAGTAAAAGTGGGAGTGATTTTAACAGAGTATCCCTGCCTTTAGGAAGCTAAGCCATAGAATGGAAAGTGGCAGGAAATCATTTGTATTCTACCACAAAGAAAATAAGTGTCCTACTTCTCTTTTTTCTCATATTTTCATCACTTATAGAATGAGAATACCCAGTGTGGCTAATGCTTTATTTTATTATATTTTTCTTTGAGTTGGAGTCTCACTCTGTCGCCCAGACTGGAGTGCAGTGGCCATTCCCGGCCACCGCAGCCTCGACCTGCTGGGCTCCGGCGATCCTTCCGCCTCAGCCCTCCAAGTAGCTGGAACTACAGGCATGTGCTACCACACCCAGCTAATTTTTTGATTTTTATTGTAGAGATGAAGTCTCACCAAGTTACCCAGCCTGTTCTTGAACCTATGGGCCCAGGCAATCCCCTCGCCTTGGCCTCCCAAAGTGCTGGGATTACAGCCTTGAGCCACTGAGCCCAGCCAATACAATTATTTTACAAGTATACTATGCCAGGCCAGGCTTGGTGGCTCAGCCTGTAATCTCAGCACTTTGGGAGGCCAAGGAAAGAGGATTGCCTGAGCTCAGGGGTTTGAGACCGGCGGGGGCAACTTGGTGAGACCTTGTCTATACAATAAATCAGAAAGCTGGGCGTAGTGGTGCCCACCTGTAGTCGGAAGGCTGAGGTGGAAGGATCACCTGAGCCCAGCAGGTTGAAGTTGTAGCTGCCATGAGCATGCCACCGCACTCCAACCTGGGCGACAAAGTGAAACTCTGACTCAAAAAAAAGGAAACTAAATTTTCAACCATTCGTTCCTCCAAGAACACTCTTGGAGAGGGGACTATGTGTAGGACTATTCTAGACACAGAGATGGACAGGAGGAGACCTGGCCATCAGGGAGGCCGCTGTCAGCGTTGCAAAGCAGAAACATCCATAAATAATCATAAACCACTGTGGTCAGGAGAGCAACAGAACATTACAGAAACCTTGAGAGGGATGTTTAATCCACCCAGGAAGGATTTGGGAAGGTTCTGGAATAAGTGACACCTATGATGAAAAGTAAAGGATAAGATGAAGCTAACAGGTGAAGGGGCGGGGCAGAGAAGATCCAGGCAAAGAAGACACACTAGTGACCCATAAGAAGCCGGGCTCGGTGGCTCAGGCTGTAATCCCGCGCCTTTGGGAGGCCGAGGTGAGTGGATTGCCTGAGCCTGCGGGTTTGAGACCCGCCTGGGTAGCGAGACCTCATCTCTACAATAAAATTAAAAAATCAGCCAGGCATGGTAGCGCATGCCTGTAATTCCGGCTGCTTGGAAGGCTGAGGCGGAAGGATCGCTGGAGCCCAGCAGGTCGAGGCTGTGGTGGCCGCGAGTGGCCACCGTACTCCAGCCTGGGTGAGACTCCAACTCAAAAAAAAAAATAAAAAAGAAGTAAGAGAAAGCGAACCGTATGGAAGTCAGGGAATTGCGCATGAAACCACGGTTTTATACGTGATTGCAGCATAAAATTCAAGGTAGGGAGATGAAGGGTGTGTTGAGGCTGGAGAAGTTGGCAGAATTCAGATCATGAAGGTCCTTGTATTTACATGAGAATGACATTTTTGTTACATCTCTCTCCCAGTTGGTAGTGCTAGCAAATGTCCATGCACAGATGACATTGTGCCAGTTTCCAGGCCCAGCCTTTAAGAAGATGGCAGTGCCCACTTCTTGTCTCTTTTAGGATGTTGCTCTTGCCACTCAAACGCCATTGTGGCAGGAAGCATAAGCAGCCACCTGATGAGACCCTGTGGAGGTGTTCCAGCTGGCAGTCCCAGCCAGCATCAGCCAACAGGCATGCATGAAGAAGTCTTCAAATGACTCCAGCTGTCAGAAACCGGGCCTCAAGCTATGCCAGCTGGTGCCACGTGAAGCTAAGTCAAGCTGTCCCTTCACATCCCTGCCCAAATTATTGTCTTTAGCAGCTAACTTTTGGGGTCATTTGTTAAGCAGCAAGAGATGAGTGGAAAAATCCCAGACCAGAGAAAGGCACACCAGATACACACCTGCTGCAGGAGAGTAGGCAGGACGTGACAATGGTCTGAACCACAGCAATGGCAGTCAGCACAGAAGGGAGTGAACAATGTAAAAAATATCTAAGGGTTAAAACTGGCAGAACGTGGGAACTGGTGGGAAAGGGTGAAAGGGAAAGAATAGTTGGTGATGATTCCTGGATTCGAAGCTCGCCTGGGGGACTGCGTGGAGGCAGCATTTTGAAGACATGGAACATGAAGAAAGAGAAGGGAAGATGATTGGTTTCATTTTCAATATGTTGAATTTAAAGAGTCATAAATGAGGTATGAACTGGAGAGAAAAGAGTGGGGAATTACTGGCATAGGCGGTGGGTGAAATAAAGAAAATGAATAAGATGTCCTGGGATGGAGTGTCAAGTGAGAAGCCCAGGCAGAAGTCAACAAGCCTGGCTAATGTTTTTTAGTTCTTGTAGAGACAGGGTCTCACTTTGCTGCCTAGGCTGGTCTCTGACTCCTGGCCTCAGGCGGTCCTCCTATCTTAGCCTCCCAAAGCGCTGGAATTACAGGTTTGAGCCACCGAGCCTGGCTAAATCAATATTAATTTGTATATGTGTGTGTTTATAAAAGCTGAGCCTCTCTCCAGGTGACATATCACAGGGTTGCTTTAACATTTTCCCTGTGCAGAGACTCAAGTGTGGTAGAAACCGTGGCTTGTCCCTTCTGACCATTCTCTCCTTCTTCTAGAGTAATAAAATCCTCGAACTTGGCTGGGCACATTGGCACTCAGCTAAGACCCCATCCCCCAGGCTTCCTGGTAGGTAGGCACAGCCATGTGACTCCGTCTGCCCAGGGAGACATACACGGGAGTGTTCTGCGTAACTGCTGCGAGGGCATGCCCTTTTCAGTCTTTCCCCATCCTGATGCCTGAAACACCTGACATCACAGCTGGAGAGCTGGCAGACCTCCAGGGCTGAGAGATGACACCCTGGAGAGCGGGATGAAGCCCACAGCCCTAGGGAAGGAGAGGTGCCAAGAAGCCTCTTTCTCTTCACACGAGAGACAAATATACTTCTATTCTGATCAAATCACTGTTTTATTGCAATATTTATGTATTTATTTATCGGGACAGGCTCTCACTCTGTCATCCAGGCCAGAGTGTAGTGGCACACTCATGGCTCACCGCAGCCTCAAACTCCTGGGGTCAGGTGATTCTCCTGCCTCAGCCTCCCGAGTAGCTGTGACTACAGGTATGCACCACCATGCCCAGCTAATGTTTTTCAGCTTTTGCAGAGGCAGCATCTCACTTTGTTGCCTAGGCTGGTCTCGAACTCCTGGCCTCAAGCGATCCTCCCACTTTAGCCTCCCAAAATGCTGGGATGACAGGCTTGAGCCACCACACCTGGCTTAAGTCAATATTAATTTGCATGTGTGTGTGTTTATAAAAGGCTGAACTTAATCGTAATTGATACAATAGGTAAATAAAAGAAAGTGCTAATCCTTTTCACAGACTCATCCCTATTTGACTACTGAACAATTTTGGCATGCCATCCTCAGTCCCACAGCTCTACACCCAAATTCTTTAATTAAATGCAAAGCCTAGTGCTATACTTTCAAGATAATTAAGACACTGGATTCGCTTTTTGGAATGCTGTCTCATTCTATATCATTGCAAGTGTCAGCAATTCAGAGTCAAACTGTAATTATAGTGCCTGAAATTTTTAAGGTGTTAATCATAGCAAAATGAATTTAAAGAATTACTGAAGGTATACTGTTTCACTACATTTAGTTCAGTATAGAAATTAGTATCTTATCATCTCAATATATTACTCTACAAAACGTGAAAGTTACCTGAGCTAAAAGAGCTGCCATTTCTAATGCTAGATCCTTGTTCAGAGGAAAAAGCCCATTTATTATTTGATCGTTTGTCTGATACATTAACAGCAACTTTTCTCTATCAGTCTCTCCACGGGCTTGCATTGAGAAATATAGTCTGTAAAGAAAAGAGGCAGTTTCTCATTAAAATATATTCTTACAAAGCAAGATAGTAAAGATAAGTCCACAGGACTGAGATGGGGCTGTTTTTAACATAGTTCTCTAAGTGACACGAACTTAAGACCATTACTACCAATGATCTCTGTTTCTGCTGTGTAACATTTTCAGCAAAATAAGGAAAAACTTCTGTGAAGTTGAGGAACTCTTGTATGCTATTTTTTCTTTTTTTTTTTGAGTCAGAGTCTCACTCTGTTGCCCAGGCTGGAGTGCAGTGGCACGCTCACGGCTACCAGACTCAACCTGCTGGGCTCAGGTGATCCTTCTATCTCAGACTTCCAAGTAGCTGGAACTACAAGCATGCACCACCACGCCCGGCTAATTTTTTTTTATTTATTGTAGAGATGAGGTCTCACCAAGTTACCCAGGCTGGTCCTGAACCTCTGACAATTCTCTCGCCTCCGCTTCTCAAAGTGCTGGGATTACAGGCGTGAGCCACTGTGCCCTGCCTCTTGTATGCTGTTTTTTGTGCTCTACAGTACCAAATCCTTTTTTTTTTTTTTTTTGAGTAGGGGTTTCAGTCTGTCACCCAGGCTGCAATGCAGTGGCAGTGGCACCATCACGGCTCGCCACAGCCTTAACCTCCTCATGCAATCCTTCTGCTCAGCCTTCTGGGACTACAGGCATGTGTCACCACACTTGGCTAATTTTTAAATTTTTTTTTTGTAGAGACGAGGTCTCACTATGTTGCCTAGACTGGTTTTGAACTTCTGGACTCAAGCAATCCTCCCGCCTCAGCCTGCCAGAGAGCTGAGATTGCAGGCATGAGCCACCACGCCCGGCCCCAAATCCTTAAATGTCGCTGAAGAAGGACTTAAGGAACCAAGCAAGATTAATTATGCCCTCTCTTGCAAGGAATGCATAAGATAACCCTTTATTTCAATGACCTGTATAAACCCAATATTCAAAACACAAATGGTCCTTCCTGAGTACCTTGGACACAGGAGGGAAAAAGAAATGAAGGTTCAACCCCAAATTAAGCCCAAACCAACATTAAATGCAAGGAACACAGAGTGTATGGTTTTCTCTGGGAACCAAAGAGATAATGTTTGTATATTTCAATGTGTTTTAACTTTTTGGTCATATTCTGATAAGTAGCTTTGGGAGTTCAAAAATAGTTTGCATGTTGTCATTCTTGTTGAAATACAACATGGCTCTTGTTTGCCTAAGAGGTTTTCATCAAATCGGTGATCCTCTTTATCTATTCACTGTGTCATTTGTTTATAAGTGATACTCGGGAGGCTCTAACATCAGGCTGCAGATCAGGCACAGGTGTTGTAAATACTCTAGACGCTGTGACAATGGGATGGGCAGGTAACAGTGTGACACCCCTAAATACTGCCATGACAACATAGGGACTGGAAAAGAGACTTAGATGCAGTAGTTGTCAGGCGTGTGCCCAGTTGGCATTAACTGTGGGTTTCCAGCCCTTTTCTCCCTACGCACTTGAGGGAGAGGACACACCCCTGTCAGGGAAGGAGGGGGGCGCAGGTCCGAATCTCTGGGGAAGCATGCTGGGGGTATTTTGCAAAGCTCCTCCCACCCCAGGATTCTGACCATGCTTCTTGCTCATTCTGGCTTATGAATCAGAGTGGTTACCTGAAAAAATAAATCCTAAGCTCCATTTTTGCTCATGACTACATGAGGACAAATGATGTGGGATTATTGCACTGTCAGAATAGGGCAGGGCAACAAAGACAGATTCTAAAGGACATCAGCAAAGTGATATGAAACAGAGAGTAAAATGGAAGGGAACACCCCTCCCCTTTGGCAAGCTTACATCTCTTCATGGGGCCTGTTTCTCCCACCTGAAGTTAGGAATGTCTTATTCATTACTGTAATCCGCTAGGGTTTAGCATTGGAAGGGTCTTCATATGAGTTTGAATTGGTAATACAGCTTGGGGGAGAAATAGAACCCAACAGCTCCATGCAGGAGGAGCTACAGTACATTTCCTGCCATTTCTGGATACAAGATTGAACCTGGGAAGGGAAAATGGAGCATCGTAGCAAAAAAAGAGAACATCAACCCTGGACACATACCCAGTACAGGAATACAACATATAGGACCCCGTGGCTCAAATCCCGAATGAAACCATTTGGGCTCCAACAGCTCTCCAGGGATTTGGGGAGAATTTGGAGAGGAACTAAAGAGTCACAAAAATGACCAAGAGGTCATAGAGGCACATCCATGGAATAGGAAGGGCGCCAGAGGGCTGTGACCTAAGCCTCCCCTATGGCCAGCTTCCAGCTGCTCCCGAATCCTAGAGGCCTGTAGCAGACAGGTGGCATTCTACCACAGAAGGCAGGACTCAGATTAGACTGCAGGGGTATTCTAAAATGTCCACCTCCTCCCTGGACACTCAGGAAGCGGAATACTGTAGGATGGAAATCTCCCCACTGTGAGCCCAGTACCACGACATAAACGTTGCCTCCAAATTCAGCGCTGCTGGGTGGTCCTCTTGCTGGTCCTCAACTAGCTGCATCTTCACTCTTGGAGGCATTTATTTCCCACTGCCACCCTTCTCATCCTCTTGTAAACATACGGAAGGCACAGCCTGTAATTTGTCTCCATCTGTCCTCCCTTTCCTCCTCTGTCCACCATGGTCTACTGAGTACACTCTAACAAAATTGCAGTTGGGATCCCCCATGCTCACCCCTTCCCTGGTGCCTTTCCGCCTCAATGGCCACAACCTCTGGTCATTTGCTTGGAAGTTACCACTCTGCAAAGCCTTCCTTTATGTCTCTACAACCTCTCGTATATACATGAGGGAGACCCCACAAAAAAAAACCAGAATTATCTTTCTGGAGGGCTGGTCCCTTGTAGTACACTCATAATTTGTTCCTCTAGATCGAACAGCCAAACAAAGCTTTTATCTGGAGGTTTTAGAGAAGGCTGCATCACAATTTGTGAAAACTTGTCCCAAGTTGTGGCAAACAGGGCTCTTCCACCATGAAAATGTACCTGCCGACAACGTGCTAAGTGTTCAGCAGTTTTTGGCCACAACCAGCATGACTCCTGTGCCCTACTCTCACTATTCACCTGATCTTGCCCTGAGTGACTTTTTTTTGTTTCCTCAGTGAAAAAAAGTCCTCCAAGGGAAACATTTTGTTGATGTAGAAGAGGTGAAACAAAAAATGGCAGAAGCAATAAAAGATATCCAAACAGTTCAAAAACCGTTTTGAGCAGTGGAAAAACCATCTCAATAGGTGTATTGCATCAAACAGAGGGGACTTTGAAGGTGACTGAAGTTTAAACATGTAAGAATAAACATGCCTTTTTAATAATTAATTTCTGGGTTTTTTTGGGTCTTCCTTGTACATGTTATATTTACGGTAACAGCAAATAACTATGAAGCATCTACTACGTGGCAAGCTCTGAGTGTATCACATTTGCCAACATTTCATTCTTCAGACATCCCAGGTAGGTGCCATTTTACATACAGGGTCCCTGAGGCACAGAGATATTAAGTAACTCACTCGAGGTCACACAATGAATGACAGAGACAGGGTTCTAACCCAGGCGGTCTGTCTCCAGCGCCCAGGTTGTCTGTTCCTGTTCAGCACTGACCACACTGCTAAGACTTCATGTCTGCCTCTCCCTATAAACTTGAGATTCTTAAGGGTAGGGAAATTCTGTTCACCTCTGAATTCCCAGAGCTTCAAGCAAGGCCTGGCACGGGTAGATTGCATGAATGGATAAATAAGTGGTATGTGAGAATTGCTAAATACAGGAATATTTGCCCCCCAAAAGCCTGAAGAGTCCACTTTGGTTCCATTTGGTTCCAACAAAACCAAGTGAGAATGCCCGACCCTCTTCTACATAAAGATCTATGCCTTAACTCTAAAGCTCTGGTTTCCTCATCTGCAAGATGGAGATGCTAACAGTAGCCCACAGGGTTGTTGTTAGGATTATTTGGGATGATGCATATGAACAGCTCAGCATAGGGCCTGGATGTGGGAAACGTTCAGTAAATGTTGTCTTTAGAGTCACATCAGAGTCTCTTCATTCTGGAATTTTCTTTAGTGTCAGCATGGCTAGAAGAAATGGGATAAACTCCATGACCTGCCAAGATCCTTCTCGACTTAGATACCAATGGACACAGGCGCTCTTACGGTCAGTTAACAGGGGCAGAGACAGGAATGTTAAATTATCTTCCAGAAAATAATAGCTACAAAGCACTATTGAAAATAATGGTTTATTTTCAAGGAGGGGGAAGGAAGAGTTGTTCCTTTCAGAGAAGAACCCTTGCCAGTTTGTTTTGTTAAAAACATGCCCTGACTTTTACAATTTCAAAAACACAGTAAGAAATCAAGTTAAGTAAGAAGCTTAAATATAAATAAAATTTAAGTATTAGTTGCCAAATCATTGTCTGTGAGAATAAGTTCAAAATCTATTAATTAAATCTTTAACTCCTGAATCTAAATAATTAAAATTCCTTAACTTGCTAAGTATAAATAAAAAGTTCCATGATAAAGGGAATTGGTATTTTAGTTTTGTTTATTATAGTGCTGCTTGGCAGATGAAGAATCAAGTCCTTGGCTGCGTGACAGGTCACAGTCAGGTTCCCTCCCAACTGGGTCACTGGAAATTAGGGCTCATTGTCTAAGCTATTTATACACATATGTAAAGCATGGCTATGTTTGGAAACACGGTACTTACTCTCATAGCTGTGGCCACCCAACCATTTCAGATTTCTGTTAAAAATTAAACCTTTCAGTTGAGTTGCTTTTTATTCTGATGTCAACGATAACTGTCGTGAGGCTTTTTTTTTTTTTTTTTTTTTTTAAAAAGGCAATCACGTGTCATTCACAACTCTCTGTCCTTTGTAGTGGTGTTTGCTAGATTCGGGGCATTATTATTATTTGTGTCTTTCAGATCAACTTTGTCCATTTCACCCAAATTTCATCTCTGTTCCAATCCTAGCCATCATAATCAGAGTT